ATTGAAGGGTCTGAATAGGAAAGTAACATGGTTGAAGCTCCACCCAGGATGGTGAGGTGAGAGTGGCCTGGGAGGAGGCGCAAGGCCTCCTCAGGAGCCGTGGAGCCGGCAGCCATGGGGAATATGCCTGGATGCTCTCCAAGTGTTGCTACTTCTGTTATCTCATTTTTCTCACCAGCAGCTTTTTCATCCCTTGTGGCTTCTTTGAAGTTGACTCTTCAAGAGAATGACCCAACAACTCCCATTTCTTATTGGACACACCCTTTGGAAATAGGCCTCTGAGACCAAGAGTTAGACTTTCAAGGAGGTGTTGAGTATTGAGGAAATCTCAAGATGATATTAGAACCCTCTTCTCTGAACAAGTCAAAATTTTATATAAGCTCCCACCCCTCTTTTCCCCTTCCTCAGGCTCCAGCACATACAGAAGTGACCAGGACCCCAGGAAGCTGCTTCCAATTCGTTTAGGACTTTAGGAACCATTTCTCTGACTTTCTCAAAAGGGAGGCTGTTTGAGATTACGGTTAAATGAAAAGATCCCCTAGGAGAGGAAGCCTGGCTGATGCCTCTCAGGAGTGGGAACACAATTTCTTTCTCCTCCCCATCTCACTTCCCAAAGCCCCTCTGAGAGCTAGCTCAGGTGAGAACTTTTTAAAGAATGAAAATCTGCCAGACGCGGTGACTCAAGTCTGTAATCTCGGCACTTTGGGAGGCCAAGGCGAGAAGGTTACCCGAGCCCAGGGGTTTGAGACCAGCTTGGACAACTTGGTGAGACCTCATCTCTACAATAAACCAAAAAAATTGAGACTCAGACTCAAGTAAATAAATAAATAAATGAAAATCTCCTAGAAGAGCTTCCATATAAAAAGATTTCAGGAGCATGGCTGTACATGGGGGAGGGAGGAAGCTCTGTGGGTATGTGACTTAGGAAAGATATGACAATAACAACTGACAACAACACGACTAAAACACAATCTATGACAGCACACATAAAGGCAACAATACAGATTTTTTTTTTTTTGAGTTGGAGTCTCCCGGCCACCGCAGCCTCAACCTGCTGGGCTCTGGCGATCCTTCCACCTCAGCCTTCCAAGTAGCCGCAATTACAGGCATGTGCTACCATGCCCGGCTGACTTTTTGATTTATTGTAGAGATGAGGGTCTCGCTGTCCAGGCAGGACTCGAACCCGCGGGCTCAGGCAATCCACTCACCTCAGCCTCCCAAAGGCGCGGGATTACAGGCTGAGCTACCGAACCCGGCTCAACAATACAAATTAAATGACATCTAGCATTTACTCAAAGGCAACTCCAAGGCAGATCCTGTTTCTTTTACTCTCCGACCGTGGCCCAGAGAGGAGGGAATCTAGTTCAGTATCCCCTCCTTCCCAAGCACAAATGGTCTCCTCTCCCTTTGGCTTGCCCCATCCTCTCCCCCAGGAGTGGTTCAATTCAATTAGTCCTAGCTCTGAGAAGGTGCCCTAAGGACAGGACATGCCTCACCGTATTCCCTGGTGTCCATGCTTCCAGAATCCAGCAGGAACTGACCCAGCAGGGCTCCCCAGGCCATTGCTCTCCTGGTTCCCGCTTTTCCACCCGTGCCTGGTGGGCACCTGCTCCACCCCGAGCCTGCACCTAGGCCTGCCCTGGGTGGGGGCTGCAGTGAACCTGTCCTGAAGAGGCCAGGAGCCAGGACTGCATGTGAACCTAGGCTCCAAGACCCCCACCGTCCCGTAATATTTAACACAACACACATTCAAAGATAAAATTATGAGCAATTTTAAGACAGCAATGGCTGACATTACACTCTGAGGATGCCGCTCTCCGAGCATGGGGCCTTAGGGCTGCACTGGAGCCAGGAAGTTGGCTGGGATCCTCAGTTAATGTTTCTCTGTTTCTTAGCCGACTGGAAAATTGAGGGAGGAGGACAAGGGAATATTACCACCCTTCAAGAGCCCCCAACAATTCTATGAACTAGGTGCTTAACATCCCCTCTAACCTTCAGCTTTTTCAGGTGTTGTTGCTACTGTACAGAGGAAGTTGAGTCTCAGAGATTTAAGTAATTTGTTACGGCCATAGAGCTAGAAAGTGGTAGAACTAAAATTTAAAATTTCCTTGGGCTCCAGGGCTCTTTCCACTCTATAAGTGTTTTCTCCAAAATAGCAAACTTCGAAGCCACACAGTCTCAAGAGAGGCCACGCTGTGTGTACAGCATGGTGTGGGATCCATGCAGGCACTGCCTCTGAAGAGTGTAATGTCACAGCTATGGTATCTTCTGTTTCCAGGTTTTGTCTACCATATGTCTAGGTGAGTATCTCAAGCCACATCTACTAGAGATTGTATTGTCAACATCTCCCTGTTTTTGCCTGTATTTGTTTTAGGTAACTGGGTTCCTGACCACCAGTTTTGTCTCAGGATAGGGGGTCTATTGGCCAGTGGAGCTAGAAGGTCATGAAGAACCCCTTTCAGGGAAGCTGGAAGTATGAAATGAGTGACCTCCAGTTTTGTAGTCCAAAAACCAAGTCATGCAGAGAAAGTGGGGAAGACAATAGAAGGAAGCTGAGAAAGAGCTGGCCAGAGGAAGTGCTTTCTAAGTATTCTTAAGATAAACCTCCATTTTACTTGAATCTCTATGACTTTGTTTCTAATCTAGCAACCAACAAAGCCCATCCAGGCCATACCTATGGGCCAACCCAAGCTCTGAGGGGCCAGGGAGCCTCTTCATTCAGAACCAAACCTTTATGATAGAACAAGACCAGGCTTTCCAGCTTTCAGTCAGCCCCTGCTAAATGCTAGTAGAGGCAGGTGGGACGTGAACATGAAGGAACTCCTTACTATATACCTGCCAGATACTTAAACATTAAATTATTTAATCTTCACAAAGCTCCCTCATGATTGTCTTGTTATCATTTCACAGGAGAGAAAACAGTCAGAAGAGCTAATTAGCACGAAGCGGTAGTCAATGGACTTAGAGTAGGTCTCTAGGTTTCAGTCTTGGTCCTCCTTCCTCCCTTAAGGGTTTATGACTTTGCTTGTCTTTAAACTTCTCTTACAAACTTCAGCGTCCTTATTAATAAAATGGGGAAAATAATAATGCCTACCTTACAGGGAGTGGTGTTGATTAGATGAATGCAGTACAAATGCAGTTGGTGAGCATTCAGTAACTGTTAGTTCTAATAAAGCCCCAAGTGGCAGAGCCGGGTTTCACACCCAGGTTCGTTTGGCTGCAAAGCCCTGGCTCTTTCCACTCAGCATCAGTCCTTGAAGGGCTAAGACAGATCCCTCAACCACTCCAACACAAAGTATTTTGCAAGGAGGATGCAAGACATTTTAGCTAAGTTTGCCATCACCTGTGTTGTGAATCTGAAAGCTAACAACACATTTATGTGTCCTGGGTCTGTAACTCCGGTTACAGTTTCATATTGGGAAACCATAGGAAAAAGGAGAAAAGAATCAATGACATTAGCTTTACTCTGATTCTTCCTAAACCCTTCAGGCTCAAACAGGGAATCTGAAATTAAGTGGATCTTGGAGTACACCTCAGTCAGACCCCCAGGTATGAGGCACAGACCCCTGAGATGCTAAAAAATAAAGCGATTCAAAAACTATGGTTTTGAAAATCTGGTAATGCCAATCACATCTGTAAGCACATTTTTATGTAATTGTAAGGTGCTTACACATTATCAATCATGTATTCATCTTAATCAAGTTACCTGACTTGAACTGAATTGTCCTTGACTTTTTCTTTTTTTGAGTTGGAGTCTCACTCTGTTGTTCAGGCTGGAGTGCAGTGGCATGCTCATGACCACAGTGGTCTGCTGGACTGAGGTGATCCTTCTACTTCAACCTTCCAAGTAGTTGGAACTACGGGCTTGTGCCACCACAACTGGCTAATTTTTTGATTTATTGTAGCGATGAGGTCTCGCCAAATTGCCCAGGCTGGTCTCGAACCCTGCTGGGCTCAGGCAATTCTCTCACCTTTGCCTCCCAAAGTGCTGGGATTATACGTGTGAGTCATTTCGCCTGGCTCTTCCTAGACTTTGAATAACCCAGTAGTTCTTCCCAACCTCACAGTGTTGCAATGAGGAAAACTAAAAATGAATATAAAGGTGCTTTGTACATTGTAAATTTTGGAGACAAAAATAAGGTTTTAATATTATGATTAAAGCTTTTAAAAAACACTGGCTGAAGTATTCACCATTTTGTGTAAACAGTTCAGCTTGAAAAAAAATGTGGAATGTAAATGTGGAGTCAAGATGTGGGCTCAGTTTCCAGTCCAGTTTCAGTCCTGACTCAGACATATGCCCAAGCTTCCACTGGGAAAATGCTGAATTAATGTCTTAAAGAAAAGGATTTAAATAAATAGTGGTAAGGAACATGTTATTTTGTTTTGAAAGTTTTATCTTCAGCCTTACCAATCTCAATCACTCAGGGTCAAGGGATCCTATAAATGGGTCTCTGTAGAAGGCTCAGTTTCCAGTCCCAACTTTTCTGTCACAAGTGGCTCTCTTAACTCAAAGCTCAGGTTTAGGAAAACTTCATTTCCCAGGACTGCTTTTAGTAGAGTCTAGCTCTCCTGCCCAGACATAACCTCCAAGATAATAAAATCCTACTTCCTAAGGTTTTGATTTGAAAATTCCCCAGCCTTTCCATGTACATCAGTGTACAGACTCTTTTTCAGGAGAAACATGGCATTTGAGAATACAGGAGAACACAGGTGAGTGTTGTGTACTTCCTAAAGATGCTTGTGGAGCTCTCCTCTTGGACCAAGTGAAAAAAAGGAGCGCCTGCAGAGTGAGAGATCCCCGGTGCTCTCCCAGATACAGGCCTGGGGCACTTACTCCTTAATGACACTCCTCCATACCAACACGTGGTCCAAAATGGAGTTCCTCTCATCTTTCATCACACTCTTAAGAAACATTGAGAAAATTATGAATTAACTGACCTTGTATCGACATGAGAGAAATGGGGGGGGGGGAGTTAATGCACAAACACAACACACAGAGGTAACTTTTCAAAATAAATTATGCAATGCTTTATAAACTGCATAAGTTCCAACAAAATGTTGGGGGAACAGATATGGTTATTTACATCAAAAATATTTATTACAAGCAGATTCCCTTTTCTCACATTAAAAAGAAAACATACAGCTGAAAACATTCAGAGAATGGAAACAATTAAATGTACTCTCAAGTCCATTATCAAAGTATCACTAAAGAAAAATATATTTTGGAATTAAGAATTAGGGATGCCTACACACAATTTAGACAGGGAAAAGAAAAAAAACTCATCAAAATAAACTCAGAATGATCCTTTACATTTTACAGTCTTTAAGCCCACAAAATGGTGCTACTTAATATATTTCTCCATGAATTTTTTGTGAAATTCAGACCGCAGTGTATCGTTAACAAATCTTTTGTCTTTCTTCTGATCATCCACACCTTTTGCACAGTTTTTGAAGACGACATCATCATCCCACCTGAAGGGAAAAAAGAAACATAATGAAAAAGAAACATCTTATAATGTTTCTATCAGGAGACAAGAATACTATGGTGGGGGAGGAATTCTCCCAAAAAACCAGAATTATCTTTTGGAGTAGTAGACTTGAAATTTTTTCCTCCAGACCAAATGGTCAACCAAAGTTTTCATCTGAAAGTTTTGAGAAGGTTACGTTATGATTTGCAGAAGAAACATCCCAAGTTGTGGTAAACAGGTGACTGGTTTTTCCACCATGACTACACCTGCTCATGCCATGCTAAGTATTCAGCAGTTTCTGGCCAAAAATGGCATGACCCCCATGACCCACCCTCCCTATTCACCTGGTCTCATTCCAAGCGACTTTTTTGGTTTCCCTGGATGAAAAAAGTCCTCAGAGGGAAACGTTTTGCCAGTGTGGAAGAGGTGAAACAAAAATCGGCAGAAGCACTAAAAGCCATCAGAAATGATGAGTTCAGCTGGGCTCAGTGGCTCAGCCTGTAATCCCAGCGCTTTGGGAGGCTGAAGTGAGTGGATTGCCTGAGCCGGCGGGTTCGAGACCCGCCTGGGCAACTTGGCGAGACCTCATCTCTACAACAAATCAAAAAATCAGCCGGGCGTGGTAGCGCGTGCCTGTAATTCCGGCTACTGGAAGGCTGAGGCGGAAGGATCGCCGGAGCCCAGCAGGTCAAGGCTGCGGTGGCCAGGAGCGGCCACTGCACTCCAGTCTGGGCGACGGAGTGAGACTCCAACTCAAAAAAAAAAAAAAAAAGATGAGTTCAAAAACTGTTTTGAGTAATGGAAAAAGGGTCTCAGTAGGTGTACTGCATTAGAGAGTGCTTTGAAGGTGAATCAGGTTTAAACATGTAAGAATACACAATTTATTATAAACAAATTCTGCTTTGTTGGGGGCCCCTTCTTATGCATTGCAAAGCTTAGTCACCACACAGAAAGATGCTCAATACATACATCATTTGATGCAGCAATTACACAATGATGAAGTAATCCTTAAAACATAATCTTGCTTTATTATAGCAGGAGGGACAATTCCTATTTAGAATATATGAAATATTCTTATTTCTCCAGTAAAAGAAACTTCTGAGTTAAAAAGCAGAAATACAGGATTTTAACTGCATAAATATTTAATGTTTCAGGTCTAAAACAAAGAGGCAGCACTTAGAACCACCCTGGTATTAGTGTAGACATATTAGTGTAGACATCTCTAGATGATAGTAACAGATCCATTTACTGTAGCTTATATTATGTGGTTTTAAGGATTTTATCTATTCCTCTTTTGTCAGTTAGCATTTTATAATCATCCACTGTTGTTTTCACATCATAGGGCCACAAAAGGAGAAGGAACTACTGAGGAATAACTGTTAAGGCTAATGTGTGGCCCACATTCACATTAACCGTGGAGAAATATCAGCTGAAGAGCTCGGGGCAGAACTCTGGTTGGATTCTACAATATACAAGCTTTAAAAAAATGTGTTATAGAAAATAAAAAAGTATGATTTCAGAGTATTATCTAGCATATAAAACAAACCCATGTACATAATACAGATACTCTCATAAATATATATAAAATACAAAACCTTATAAAGTTTATATGCACACGTTTGTTAGCCAGGAGAAACTGCACATGGGAAATAAGCAAAGGATGTGAGCACCTTGGGAAAATAGTAACATTATCACTGAGGCAGTACACAGAAATGTAAGAAGCTGAGCGAACAGGACACAGAAATCTATCTCCGATTCTATCTGCATCCAAAAAGAACAGAAAAACAAATAATAAAGTCTAATTTTAATCTATATATAATCAGTATAGTTTCTTCTGTATCTACTCTCTTCTCAACTCACTCAAAACAGGCTTTTTGTCCCTCCTACCCAACACCAAAATGCTCTTCCCTGACATATCTGACCCAGATGATCACTCCTCTCTCTTAAAACACCTAGCTTGCTTCATTTCCAAGACACCATCATCTTTTGGTTCTTCTCCTTCCTCACTGGCTGCTCCTTTTCAGTCTAGTTTTCATTCAAAATTCATTCAATCAATATTTATTAGGCACCTGGTATATCAAGAGGTCGGGCAGATGATTAGAACGGGTATTGGTAACTAGTCATTTCACCGATTTCTAAACATTGTGTCAGGCTCAGTCCTCTGACTTCTCTTTTCTAGCTACACCCATTTTCTAGGTGATCTCATCCTATCTCATAGCTTTAAAAACTGTCTATAAGCGGATAACTCCCAAATCTATTATCTACAGCTTGGACTAATTCCGGAACTGCATCAGGCTACCTACTCAGCATCTCCTCAGAGTTGGATGCAACACCCCAACGGACCATGTCTGAAATCTGCCACCTCATCTATCCTCAAACCTTAATCACAGTCTTTCCCATCTCTATCCTCTCAGTTGCTCAGGTCAAATACCTTAGTCTAGTCTCTGACAAAACATCACCTTGTCAGCAATCCTTCCTTAACTACACTGTTGCCTCTGCACATAGCAGGTAGTTTTTTTTTTTTTGTCGGGATCTCACTCTGTGTTGCCCAGGCTGGAGTGCAGTGGCATGCTCATGGCCACTAAAGCCTTGACTTGCTGGGCTCAGGCGATCCTTCCACTTTAGCCTTCTAAGTAGCTGAAACTATTTTAAGGATGGGTTTTCACTGTGGATGAAAACCACTGGAAGGTTTAGAAGAGGAAGCTGTTGTTGACTTCTCAGTTTAAAAGGGCCACACTGCTGTGTTGAGGAAAAAACTGGTGGGGGGATGGAGAGGGTGGTGAGTGTGTAAGCAAGAGAGGGTTAGTGGTAGTGTGTCACTCCAGATGGGAGACAGGAGCAGTGGATGTGGGGTCAAATAGTAAATATAGTTTAAAAGCTAGGTCTAAAGGGTTCCTTGACCACCTTATACACAATACGACCAACCTTCCTCCACTCAGCACCTCCTATAGGATTTTGTTATATTTTTCTCCATATCACCATCTGAGGCATTACATACAGTACTTCTGTTTATAGTGTCTCCCTCTTCAGTCCTCTGCTTTATCCCTCCAAACACATACCAGTTTCCTGTATGGAAAAGAGTTAACATATAGCAGGTCTACGACTTCTATCCTTAGAAAGGCTTATGAGCTAGGTTGGCCATAGGCTAGCATTTGGGAAACTGGGTTTCAGAAATCTTCTCACTGCCATGGTGCCTAGAGTTTATAAGTAATATGACTTAGGCTGAACATCTACTTTCCTTTAGAGAGACAATTTGGGTATGTGCTAAGCAGAAGTTGCCTATATGACTAGCTCCAACAAAAACCTGGGCTTCCCTGGGCAGACACACTGACACATGCTGCTGCATTTTCACTGCTGGGGGAAGCAGTTAGCTCTGTGTGACCACTCATGGGAGAGACAGAGCATAGCGAAGTCTGCACCCAGATTCCTTCAGTCTCTGTTTGTGTCCTTCCCCCTTATAATCCATCTCTGTATCTTTATTACCTTAGCCATGAGTATAACTATATGGCAAGTCCCCTTAATTCTTCTAATAAGTCTCTGAATGGGAGGGGTGGTCTTGGGGACCCTTGACACACACCTAAAATATAAGCTTTGTGGGGTCAAGGGCTCAGTTCTTTACTCTATCCCTAGTGCTTAGATCATTATCTGGTACACAGCTGATTATCAGAACTATCTACTGAAAATAAGGCTATTTTCTTTCATTTAGTTTCTTCTATTACTCTACAATCTTACAGAGAATAGTATCAATAAAAAGGTGGGGTTTTAGAGGCTTTACATAATGTACTTTGCTCACACACACACACACACACACACACACACACAGGCCATTATTGTGTAGTACCTTCTTTTAACTTTGAAGTTGGCTTGAGGCTGGGATGGGCCAGTGAGATTAAGCAGAGGGTTTCCACTCAGAATGTTTTCCATGCGAATTCTCTCTTCTTCAGCTTTTTGTTCTTGTTCCTGCCAATGATTAAAAAAAATTCACATTTACTTATATTAACTCTGGGTCTAATTTTTTTCTTTTTTATCCTTTCTTTTTTTTTAAAGACAGAGTCTTCCCTCCGTCACCCAGGCTGGGTGCAATCTTGTGCACCGTAACCTCAAACTCCTGGGCTCAAGAAAGTCTCCTGCCTTAGCCTCTTGATTAGCTAGGAATATAGGTGTGTGTACTCCACAATGCCTGGCTAATTTTTAAAATTTTTTGCAGAGACAAGGTCTCACTTCGTTGCCCAAACTAGTGTCCAGCTCCCAGGCTCAAGAAATACTTCCACAATGAATTCCCAAAGCACTGGGATTCCAGGTGTGAACCACCACACCCAGCTTTGATTTTCTTATATTATCTCATTAAAAAAAAACCAAAACCATTAGGATTTTATGGGAAGAAAACCATCAAGGTAAGGTTTTCTTTCTTTTTTGAGGGGCTTTTTAAGACACACCAGAAAGTGTCACTCATCAAAATAAAATAATCTGACATTTTTATCATAAATATTTCAGTAACAATACATATTGTTATTGCCATCATACAATAGTCTCTTTCAACTCTGAAATGCTATAAAATGCTATAAGATGTGTATCTGTTTTCTTTCTTGAAGTATATATAAAATCAATTGCTTTTTTTTTTTGAGTTGGAGTCTCACTGTCTCCCAGGCTGGAGTGCAGTAGCATGCTCATGGCCACCGCAGCCTCGACCTGCTGGGCTCACGTGATCCTTCTGCCTCAGCCTTCCAAGTAGCTGGAACTACAAGCATGTGCCACCACTCCCAGCTAATTTTTGATTTATTATAGAGATGAGGTCTTGTCAAGTTGCCCAGGCTGGTTTCAAACCCGTGGGCTCAGGCAATTACCTTGGCCTCCCAAAGTGATGGGATTATAGGTGTGAGCCACTGCACTCAGCCAATTGCTTTAGATTTTAAGAGAATGATTTAATACTGAAAGGGTTTAGTCTTTTTGCCTCAGCATAACCTTTAGAAAGCTGTTCAGACATTCTACTGCAGAACAAGCAGCCTATCCCATCCCATCCCCCCATAGCAAATCTCCTTCAGGTACAAGACCAGGACAGCCCAACCATTCATGGTTGAGCATAATAATCTCTAGTAAACATTTAGGTTCCTTGTCAAGGCTGAAGATCAAAGGTCACCCTTTGGCTGGCCAAAGTCATAAAAGTAATAATGTGACCACCCCACCTTTGGTCAAGGAATTTGTGAGTTGCAAATGTCTGAGTTTGTGAATTGCAAATGTCTAACAAATCTTTTTGCAGGACTCCTCCCTGCCTCCAGGGTTAACCTAATCAGCCCTTTGTGACCTAGGTGACACAGATAAGCCCTACCAAGGCAGCGATCACATGGATAACCCACCCATCTGCCTGCTGTCCATCACCTGAGTCAGTAACTAAGCTTGCCCCTTCATGATGTGGAAGCAGACCACCACCCAATCACCTTAATGATCTTCCCCCATGTAGGGGAATTGTTAAAAGGACTCAACCACAAGCAACCAGGGGCCATTGCCTTGCTACTCTGGTATGGCCATGTGCTCTTTGAGACGAATCTTCTTTCTTTCTTTTCTCTCTCTAGTTTACTTTTAAATAAACTTTTCTTTCTTAACCTTTTTGTGTGTTGCAATTCTTTGCATTTACTTGGATCTCTGGGTTACTGGTGCTGCGCCACCCCTCACCCCTCCAGCACTCCGCCCTCACCCTGTCTGTACCCTAACAAATACACATACTCTAGTAAGTTAAGAAATATTAAACATCAAAAACACACATTTAGCAAAGCTATTTTCTCAATTTTAAAAGGGCTATACACAACTGTGATTAAAAATAATTGTATTTTAAATTACTAGCCCTGTAAACTTACATCTCTAGGTTTGGTTATACATTATTATTAACCAAGACTTTAACTCCTAAAAGAAGACAAACTACCATGTAAAAAACTATCTACAATGAACACGGATTTCTACTGCTCTACCTGAAGCTTATTCATTTTGTTCTTGTGATTTATTGTTACTGACTTTTCTATTTTTATTCCTCTCATCCTTCATCAGTAAGAACATTGTCTTTCTTTATGTTTATTTTAGTATCAACCTCTTCAAATTCAAATGATCCTCAATTCCATTCTAAGAATTCGGAATATAGAATGTCTAAAATCCTTAGCTAAATCTAGGTCTACCTATTAACATGCTATCTTAAAACAAATACAAATTCCATTTTGTTATATTTTGATGACAACACTTTAAGAAAAAAAGAGACTGTGTGGAAGTAATTTTAAAGTGAACCTTGCTTCATGAATATAGGCTGGTGGCTGAAGAGTCCATGGGTCAAATCTGAATGACCTCATTTTTGTAAATAAAACTTTACAGGAACATGGCCACACTCAGCCTATGGCTGCTTTGGGACTATAACTGCAGAAATGAGTAGTTGCAGCAGAGGCTGTATGGCCAGCTGGGTTAAAATATTGACTATCTGACTCTTTCTATAAAGTGTGCTGATCTCTGACATAGGCTAATTGGTCTGAAAATCTTATTGTGGGGCACCTCAAAAACCAGCCAATAGAAAGAGAAACAAAGATAAAAGAAACAAAATTGTCATTCAACCCCAAGAAATAACACATTTTTGTACAAAAAGATTGTATAAAGCTCACAAAACTGTGAAACCTTCTGTCTAAAACGTGTCCCCTCCCTAACAGTCAACCAAAAGCATTTAAATTGCTTATCTCTTTATGTACTCAGAGCTGTCAGGCAAGCCGTAAGAATCTGGAACAACCGCCCTCTAGTGGTCTACAAGTGAGGCTGGGAAGGTTCTTATAATTCTATGATTTTTAAAAATTAGATGCAAGAACTATAAGCTATTAAAGGAATTATGCTCTCCTATACCAAACTTTAATAAGAATTGTATTTTCAAATTCTGCTTCTTCCTCTCTGAATTCTAACAGTCTTCAAAGCCTATCTCAAATTCTACCTTGTTTCTGAATTCTTCTCTGGCCCTTCTGATTCCCCTGAATGCTACTTTGCATTAACCTAGGTTAGTGTTTTCCCTCCAGGTCTTTTTCCCTCTTTCTTTTTTTTAAATAGAATAATTTTCAAATAAAATCTTACACAGAAATCCACAGAAAAAGCTGTGCTGCTCTGGCTGAAACCGGGGGCTGACACCTCTACTTGAATGTCTCATAGTGGGTCAAATTCAACATGCTCAGATAGAACTTATCACCTCTCTTCTCTCTGCCTAAACGTGCTCATGCTTCTGCATTCCCAGTATCAGTATATGGCACAGACGCTACCCAGAAACTAGAGGTCACCTTTGCTGCCACAATCAGTCACTTTATCTGGTCAACTCGGACTCCTTGATAGCTCAACCAGCATCTATTTACTCTCTCAATTTCACTCCTCTTATACAAGCTAAGATTCTCTTAAGTGCATCTGAGGTTTAATGGACTAGCCTCCATTCATTCAGTTTTTTCCGATCCATCCTCCTTAATTTTGCCAGAGTAATCTTTCAAAAATGCATATCCAGTCTTATCAATCTCCTGCTAAAATCAACTGGCTTCTGATATCCTTTAGAACAAAATTTAGACTCCTTCAGTGTCGTTTCACAAACCTCTAATGCTCTGACCTGTGCTTGCCTCCGCAAGTTTCATCTCTTATTGTCACTACTCTGAATAATTCATTCAAAGTTTTAACTGTCTTTGTGTTACATATTCTTTTCTTTTATTGTATAAATGGAGAGACTGTGGGGTTCAGAGAAGTGAGGTAACTTGCCCTAGGTTATATAACAACTATTGACAGAGTGTCTCAACAGTGCTTAGTCAGAAAACAAAGAGAGGAGAGATAATCTTTGTAGACCATGACTCTATCTTAATCATCACTGATTCTTCTGACACTTAGTAGACATTGACTCAATGTGCTGAACAAACAAAATAGTGAATAATCACAATTTGATTAATATTATTTACTATACTGAACTATTTGGAAAAAATTTTTTCCATAACCAGGACACCTGGGATGTCATAAGAATAATCAGATTCATAGATCTATAAGTGCTATAATATTTAGCCATGGTGAGGAAAATTCCTAATATAAGAAGGTTTTACTTGAATTCAAAAGTATTTCTACTTTAGCATGTGTGAGAAGATGGGGAGATGTAAATATTTAACGCTTTGACTCTACCTTTCTAGCCTGCTCTTCAGCTCTTTCTTTTTTAATTTTTTCCAGTTCTGCAAGAAGAGCTGCGGTATCATCATCATCACTTTCTTCCTCAAAATCTTCGTCTTCCTCCTAAAATAAGAAGTCATAGCCAAGGATATTGGAGAGAAAATATACAGTATTCATTTTTTCCATAAAAATTACATTTACCAAATCTTTGAGAGATAATTAATTTTCATAGTGGGAAAGGTAAATACACCTAAATATCATGATTAATGATTAAGAGTCAACTAAAAACTAAAATAAAACCTCATAAAAAATCTTATGGAGCTGGGCTCGGTGGCTCAGCCTGTAATCCCGCGCCTTTGGGAGGCTGAGGTGAGTGGATTGCCTGAGCCCGCGGGTTCGAGACCCGCCTGGGCAGACGAGACCTCATCTCTACAATAAATTTAAAAAAATTAGCCAGGCGTGGTAGCACGCGCCTGTAATTCCGGCTACTTGGAAGGCTGAGGCGGAAGGATCACCGGAGCCCAGCAAGTCGAGGCTGCGGTGGCCGGGAGCGGTCACTGCACTCCAGTCTGGGTGACAGAGTGAGACTCCAACTCCAACTCAACAAACAAACAAACAAACAAAATCTTATGAATACCTATTAAAAGGCCAACACCTGACAAAGTAACTTTCAAATTTACATGGCCAAAAGGAAATTTCCATATGAAAATATTTCTAAAAACAGAAAAGTAACACTTTATACTAAAACATAGTACATATGTACAGTGTAATACCCTAATAGAGTTATGAGTTACAATCATTTTATGTGACTCAAAACAACTTTAAGCTGGCAAGTAAGGATAATCAAAAGTGCAAAAAAGGGTACTAAATTCCCAAAAGAGGGTAATTTCAAACAAATAATCATTAAATTTTACTTAAAACTGGGTTTCCTGTTTTATTATTAGTAACTCTATCATTCGACTCTAGAATTAATTGCTGATATATACATAATTGGATGTGGACTCATAGGAAGTCACTCAGATATTTTCACCATACTGTATATAGAAAATGGCAAATTAATTACAGATTAATTAGAGGTCAGGTCTCACTGAATTTTAATGTTGATATAGTGATCCTTGAAAATCTTCTGCTCGATTACTTTCCTCTCTGAGCACAGAGAGCATCATTAAGTGCACTGCATGTTTGGAGGGGGCACCCTATCTAAAGTGGAAAGGTCTCTGGGTACAATTCTAGAGGGTGCTGTTTATAGAGAGGCCAGTGTGGAGAGTATCCTATGAAGGTGTATAACATGGTAGCCCAATCTCCAGGGCTTAGTACAAGGAGTTATTTTTGGGGGAAGCATAGTGTTTAATGGATTGTTTACATTATTTGATTTTCCAGATCAAACTTGTTCAAGTCCTTACCACAAAATAATACTTTTTGCTTTAACATCAATGACAAAGTTTAGGACTAGGGTCAGAGTTACATTTAAATAACAGTAAAAATAAATACAGGTCACTTCTTAAGGTCAAAAGCATAGAAAGTATTTCAGGAAAACACAATAAATGAATAATTAGAGATAAAAGGAGGAAACAAAACATACGTCTGTTAGAGGGTCATCTGCATCCAGGTTGGCAGCAGGAATCTGGTCTAACCGAGGCTTTTTAGACACTGAAGAGGAAGTTGTGTGTTCTGGGGAAAACAAACATCCTTTTGTATACTAAAACAAATTCTGCATTTCTTATAATGTTTTAGGGAACTCTGTGTACAAAGAGACCACACTGAAAGCTTCATGACAACAGGGATCATACCCATCGTGCCTGGCAGATAAGCCTCTGGTAAATATTTGATGAATGAATTAATACAAGTATTGATTTTAATATGAGAACTGCAGTCTCTCTCAGGAAGTCCTAGCAATAGCTAATATATGCTGACAACATAAAATGATAACACTGGAAGCCTTCCAATAGTCAGTTTAAAAAAAAAACAGGAGAAGAGACAGAAACCATGATGCCTGGCTGCTGTAAACAATCAAAAACACCTCAAAATGAACTGAAATGTCCAGGGCTAACTATCCCTAGATCACTCTATTCCTTCTAATATAGAAGCATTAAAAGATAGAATCTGAATGAATATCATTATCGTCTCTAGTCATCTATGAAATTGTTACAGCTCAATCTTTAAAAGCAAACAAAAGTATTAACCTTTTTCAATTACCACATGAAAAAGAAACTATCGACAACATAATTTTATGAGACAAATATTTGGGACAGTGTTAGTACCTCGGGTTGGACGATCCCTGTTTTTCTCTCTTGCAGCAGCTCTTTCTCTTTCTTCCAATTCTCTCCTGAAGTCACGGTTACGAACCTCTTCAGGGGCATCCTGAGTAGTTTGTCTAGAGCAGAAACAAGAGGTTACTTAAAAAATACACAGGCCTGTAGCAATGGAAGACTATTCAGGAATGAGATTTTGTCGCTCAAACATAACAAGGGGAAGATGACAAGGTCATAATTTAATCTGAAGGTTGCTAATAGGCCCTCTTGTGATGTTTCCAATATTTCAGAAAGTACAAACTGAATCATGTATTTTCTCATAATAAGGCTGCAGGTTGATGAAAATGCCTTTAATTTTTGTTAGTATGATTTCAACTCAGGGCATGTTATAGCAACACTTTCAATTTCATGTTGACCAGTGCTGATAGTGCACAGTCTCTCTAAGGTAATACACTACTGTTCCATCTACATATGAAAATTCCTCATTAATAGGAGTTTCTGCTGAAGGAATATCTGGTAGCATTTCAAAATCATACAGCACAATTTTAGTATTAAATCCTCTATTGTATTCTATTCCTGTGAAAATAGACAAATGACATAAACATACTACCATATCACGACCATGCCATTTAACAGATTTTGTCTTGTTTTGTAAACAAGAAAAAAGTGAAAGTCTTTATTACCTGTATTTTATTTTTGTATGAGAGGGTAGGTCTCTGCTTGAATACTGTTTTGAGAGTTGGCTCAAATCACCTTCTCCTTTTCCTCTTCCTCCTCTCGCAGGCTCAAAAGTTGGCCTAGCTGCTGTTGTCATCTTTTAGGCTCTGAAAAAAAGTTATTTTCAACACAACAAACTTGCTGGAGACCAGCTCCAGCCGGGTTTAGGGTACCCCAAAGGTGGAGATGGCGTTGGCAATTGGGGGGAAGAAGAAAGAGAGAGAGAGAAAGAGACTGGACTCTGGTTTAGTGCAGAAGTGATGTGAGTGTTATTGGGATTTACAACGGGCCTTTTATACACAAAGTCAGATGTGGGAGGGGCGTCCCTCACCCACCAAAAACCTTAATCCATGAAAACTTAATCAATGATTGCCTTTAAACCCTTTCCAAAGTTCACAGTGGGCTACCTGCAAGTAACCCAGCCGCATTCTTCTAAAACTGTATTCTACAATTTACACCTTCAATAAATCCTAAGATCATGACCCAGAAGCCTGTGACCAATACTACGGCTCTTAGATGTGACACGAGTTTGAACTATAAGTTGTGTGAAAGCGAAAACTGCAGTTTGTGGAAGAATGGGAGCAGTGAGCTTCTAAAGTTAGCTTGTGTTCGTCCCAGTCTCAGAGTTTTTATGTTTTGAGCTCACAGGAGCTTAATCTGGTTAGTGCTGAGTAGAAACGGGGAGGAAATGGGGTCAATAGCTCCGAATAGTGGTCTTGGGGTCAACAGCCCTTCCTGATCCCTAACGCTCAGTAGGGCTCCGTGGCCAGCTCCCAATACAAACTCTCATTTTAAAATAAGTATTAATTTGTATCTATCCTAGGGAAGTAAGCTCCAAAACTCATTCCCCAAGACTTGTTTAAATAATCCTCTCAAGGAAAAGTCATCAAGAAAGCAAATTATGAGGCTTAGGCAGTTCTTATTTAATACACACACACACACAAATCTGTCATGAAGATCTCAGTTTGTGTTCCTGTTCTTCTTCTGACTGTGTGGCCTTGGACAAGTCACCTAGCTTAAGTTTCTGTTACCTGTAGAATGGGGATATTCTTCATAGGATTATATAAGAATTATGACACTTGACATAAGAAAGTGTCACTTGACCTTGTAAAAACAGTACTGCTAGGACTGAATTTTAAAAATTCTCAACTTGGCAGCAAACAGCAGACACTAGACATTCTTGCTGTTGTCCTGCCCATTGTGTCCTTCACAATTTATCTTTCCTTAATAAATCTACCTTTCTTAGTTAAAAAAAAAAATCTCAACTCAACCTTACTCCACGAGACTCCCTAAAGTTTGCATTTTATCTAAACCTCAAATAACCACAAATAGGCTAGTAAAAAACAAACGCCAAAAAAAAACAAAAAAAAATTACTGACAAAGTTACTGAGTTCCTGGAGGAAAGTGTGCTAAAAACCTCAATGACAGTTACATGGACAAAATTTTTCAACAATCTTTTGTTGACTCAATTTTCTCCTACAACAGCCATCATGATACAAATCAGATCGTCTGTAGGTTGCAATGTAAGGAATGCTCAAAAAAAGAACCTCACCCCAAAGGATTCTGATAACCAAAATCAGGGACCCATTCCTTATGTTACTTTCTGCTTGGAGGAGCCAAAAGAATACTGCCTAGCAGACAGGGCTACTAAAAGCGTGTTAGTGTTGGAAAAGCAAGTGTGTGGGGGAAGGTGGTAGAAATTGACTTTTTGGTATACTTCTCTTGATTTTCCAAAAGAATAAAGGCGTGTATCCAGAGGAGACACAGAGCTTTGTGGTGCTGGAGGATCATCACTTTGGCCTCCCAGGAGCCTGTCTTTGGCTATCTCTAGACACTCACTGACTCGTCACCTGTGCCCAGCACTGCGGGGGCCGGCGTGGGAGGAGGGGAAACTGGAGCCCGCTTAATGCGGTGGGCAGAGCTGCCTTCACGCTGTGCTCCTCTCCACCTGCCCGAGAGCTCCGGACGCGCCGGGCAGGCAGCGAGCTTCCCACCGGCCCGCTGCTCCGGAGCCGACTTCACACCCAATGGCCCTTTCCCGCCTCACCTAGATAAGGAAGATAATTTGCTAGCCTCCTGCCGCTCACTTTGGCCGAGGTCCGATGCAGCAGACTCTGAAGATCATACAGACACCATTACGACCACCGGCTGGAGACACCTCTGCACCCAGGACTAAAGCCCGCGACCCGGAAGCAAAACCCAAGCGCTTTAGCCACGCTTCAGGGGCGGAGGCAACGACCAATCAGCAGAGACTTGGGGTGGAAGTCGGCCTGACGGTAGCGATGGGCGGGGCCCGCACGGCCCCGAGGGGCGGGGGCCGTGCTGAAATCAGTACTTTGGAGATTTTAAACTTCATTTCATCCCTTCAGGAACCCTCCTAGACGCCTTCATTCCGTACTGCGTGAACGAAAAGCCCCAGGTAGCCATACCACGTCTCCGGCCAGCGGGAGAGAGCGTGGAAGAGTACACCAAACTTTAAATGCCACGACTCCTACTCCCATCCCTTCTCCTGAGCTGGACCCAACAAGCTTAGAGAGTTGGGCTACGGAAAAACTAGTCTGCTCATTTAATTAATGAAGAAATAACAAATAGGTAGGGGGGCAACCACGATCTTTATAAAGGTAACATTCCTGCAAAAAATATTAGACTTCAAAGCAAAGGTTGTATTCATATTGTTATATCTTTCTCTTTCTTTCTTTCTTTCTTTTATTTTTGATCAAGATGTGGGGTACAATTCAGGGTTAGGTATACAAACTTTGATTATGCAGGTACCCTTGTTGATGAGGTATGCCCCTCTCTCCCCTAGCAGTTTCCTTTAACTGCCAATCCCACACTCTCTCCCCTGACAGTTTCCCACTACTGCCAGTCCCTTTCTTATAGTATTATAATAATTGTTCAAGGTCTGCTTTATGAGTGAAAACATACGGTACTCTGTTCTTTGTTTCTGTGATAGATCACTGAGTTTGATCGACCCTAAATCCATCGAAGTTGCTGCGAGGTCCATATGTTTGTCCTTCTTTATGGCTGCATAATATTCGATTGTGTATATGTACCACATTTTTTTAATCCAGTCCTGCTTTGATGGGCGACTTGGTTTGTTCCATGTTTTTGGAACCCTACCGTAAATAGGGCTGCAACAAACATACATGTGCAGGTATCTTTTTTTGTAGAATGATTTGAGTTCCTCCAGGTATATTCCCAATAAGGGAATTGCTGCGTCATATGAAAGGTCAATTTCTAGTTCTTTCAGAAATCGTCACATTGTCTTCCAAAGAGGTTGCGCTCCCACCAGCAGTGTAGAAGCAGTGTAGAAGCATTCCTTTTTCTCCACATCCTCGCCAGCATCTGTTGTTGTTTGTTTTATATATATATATATATATACATATATATATATATATATATTTTTTTTTTTTAAGCATAAATTCTAGTAGGAGGGGAGATGTCAATATAAGTGTTTATGACATTGAGCTTTTAAAACTGTGGCCCCAACTGCCAGGAGCATAAGATGGAACTATTAAATGGTTACTCAACGTTAGGCGAAGTTTTAATAAGACAACGAAGAGACAAAAAACGAACAAACCACTGATGGTCTCTCCTCCGTTCCTTAAACAAGGCACACTTTATTTAGCAGGATCTTGTTTGCTTAGTTGGTCTTGGTCATCACACAGATCTTGACGTATAGCAGTTGCTCAATAAATATTTGTTAAACAAATGAAAATCCCACTTCCCCAGCTTAGTTTCAAATGTAAGGAGCTCATGGAATTAAATAATTAAATGTTTTTCCCTCTAAATTCTTTCAAACTTTTTTTTTTTGTTTTGGAGTTGGTCTCTCACTCTGTTGCCCAGGCTGCAGTGCAGTGGTACACTCATGGCCACCGCAGCCTGCCTTCCAAGTAGCTAGAACTACAGGCATACGCCACCACACCGGGCTAATTTTTAAAAAATTTTTATTGTAGAGACAAGGTCTCGCCATGTTGCTCAGGCTGGTCTTGAACCCCTGAGCTCAGGCAATTTTCTTGCCTCGGCCTCTCAATGTGCTGGGATTACAGACTTGAGCCACCACACCTGGCTCTTTCAAACTTTTAAATGGAAAAAAGAAAAGTGGAAAAAGTCCCATTCCCCCATAAAATTCAAGATGAAAATCTTGATTTTTCTTACTGACAGTATTCCTGCCACTGAAGACATGTGCATCTCAGTAAAGGATACTATCACCATTCTAGTTACTCAAACCAAAATCCCAGGGCACCTACCTAAATTCTTTTTCCTTCACTCTTCACATCCTGTTCTTTTACAAGTCTTGCCAATTCTCCTTTCAGAATGTACCCTAAATCTCATGACATCCCTCGTCCAAGCCACCACCAGCTCCGACCTGGAGTGTAATGGCCTCTTAATGAATCTTTCTGCTTCCTTTTTTTGTCGTACAGTCAATTTTGCATATAGCAGTGAGAGTGATCTTTTAAAATTATTAATCAGATGGTGTTGCTTTCCTGCATAAAATTCCACTGCAGTTAGAATAGCAATCACATTTCCTAATGTGACCTGAGACGCCACGGAATCGGCCTTCTGCCCACCTCCCTGACTTCATTTCCAATAGTCACTCTCTTACACACCAAGCTCTGGATGCAGCCAAGTGGGTATTTCTGTTTTATAAAACAAAGCAAGATTCTTTCTGTTTTAAAGTCTCTCCACCAGCTTTTCTCTGTTGCCTGTGCCCCAAGGTTACCATCCTATGTTACCATCCTTCACATCTCAGCTCCAATGTTACCTCCTCAGCAAGCCTTTTCCCACTATCTGCATTTGCAGCACCACCCTCCTACACATCACATCACCATTTTATTTTATTTTTTTTATTTATTTATTTTGAGTTGGAGTCTCACTCCGTCGCCCAGACTGGAGGGCAGTGGCACGCTCCCGGCCACCGCAGCCTCGACCTGCTGGGCTCCGGCGATCCTTCCGCCTCATCCTTCCAAGTAACCAGAACTACAGGCGTGTGCTACCACGCCCAGCTAATTTTTGATTTATTGTAGAGATGAGGTCTCGCCAAGTTGCCCAGGCGGGTCTCGAACCCATGGGCTCAGGCAATCCATTCGCCTCAGCCTCCCAAAGTGCTGGGATTACAGGCTGAGCCACCGAGCCCAGCCTATTTTATTTTTTTTAAGTTGCTGAACACTACCTAAATCTATTCTGTTGATTGTTTATTGCCTTCTTGCCTGAGAGACAGCATAACAAAGTCATCGGGAGAAAGGGATCTACAGTATGACTCTGTTGGTTCTAAGTTCCAGTTGAGGCAAGTTATTTTCCATTCCTGTGCCCTCAGTTTCTTCATGTGTAAAATGGGCATAATTCCAGTCCCTATGCCATAATGTGACTGTAAGGATTAATTGAGTTAATACTTGTAAGGTGCTTAGAACTGTCTCAGCAAATCATACTTGCTAACTAAATGGTAGCTATTATTATGAATTGTATTGTTTCTATTTTTATTGTCTATCTTCCTACCTTAGAACATAGGAAAGCAGGAACTCTGTCTCTCTTGTTCACTGGTGTATCCTCTGCATATAGAACAGTGCCTGGCACATAGTAGGTGCTGAGTAAGTATTTGTTGAATGAATGAAGGAATGCTGCACTATCAAGTAGAGGAATGAAGTAACAATGGCAAGATAGTGACACAATTATAGAAAGTACCCACCGTTCTTATGTTCCAATTGCCCTTATTAGCCCGGAGTGAATTGCCTCAATCCATTTAACTCCCAGCCCACTACCCAATCTTTTGACTGCCAGCTGTGATCAAATAACCACCCTATAATTTCATTAACATCAACATACATTATTATCAGTCCACAAAATGAAAGCCTTTTGACTTCAAAAGTTTTTTTACTTAAATGATCTGAAAGTACTAATAAGAAATTGAAACTATAAAGCTTTTGACTTAAATGGTTTGAAAGTATCAAGGAAAAAAAACCTAAAAGTATGGTTACTAAGCACTTGAAATTCATCCTGTCAGTTAACCTTGCTGTCAAAAATCATCTAACCTCCCAAGAATTCTTATTTTAAACCCATTACCACAAAAGCCTAGTTGGGTCCTTAATTCTACCTGTCAGTCTTCTTACACTTTTTTGTTTATTTTCTGCCACTGCAATAATATGATTTCCCACATTCCCATCTTTATTCAAGTCTGCATGCCTCCTCCCCTTCCTTTTCCCTCCTCATTCTGCTTCCTGAGAGTAGATCTTTTGACTTCTCTGGGACAATGGAAGCTCTTAAGCAGGGCCTTCTCATCTCCCCTCTCAGCAGTCTATCAAGTTATCTTTGACTATGTCCATCTCTTCAGCTTTCCATGTGTTGCTGGGGATGAGGTGACTCAAACTCCCTCCCTTGTGCTCTGGATCCTAATTCCTCCAGCTTTCTTAGTGACAGGCATCCAATGAGAAATACTTCCCATTGGTCTTAAGCTATGAAGCCATCCCTTTCAGATCATTCTTACCAGCTTTTGAACACAGTATGGTAGATCTTAACCTTAAAAAACGTTGCTTCTTTTTAAGATAACAAATGTAGTATTTTAATTAAATATGGAAAGGATGTTTTATACAACTTTGATTGCAAAGCTGACTATTCTTATGGAAGGAAGTAATGTAGGAATTCCAGCTTCAAAGCTTACACAAAACAACACCCCAAAGGAAAAAGAGAAACCATAAAAACCTAAGAAGAAAATTTAAGAAACTACATATAGAACCTAGAGTTTGGAAGGATGTTTTGGTCAGGCAGAACACCTTAGGAGCTTTAAAATAAGTAATTTTAAAAATTCATCTATATAAAAATTTTATGGCAGATGTCAAAAACAAGATGCTAGATCAACAGGTAAATTTGGTAACACCCATAACATATACAGGATTACTGCAACTGCTAATAGTAATACACATAATATAAAAAACACAAGCAGACCAATTAAAAAATAGGCACAAGATATTCAGAAAAAGCAACTACAAATCTACAGTAGACAATAAACAAGAAAGACACTCAACTTCCTAATGAGGAAAATGAAAGTTAACTGACAATGAATTATCATATTACAGCCTACACAGCACGTCTTCTCCACACCCTGACTCGCCACAGCTTGTCCTGCTACAACCTATCTCACCACAGCCCATGCTCATGCCTCCCACCTCAACCTCCCAACTACAGTTCTGGTTT